GACTTCAGACAACCTTTGACCCTTTGCTGACGTCACACGTGGGAAAAATCACGTGTCCACAGCATTTGGGTTGGAGAACAGTTTAAGTTTTTCATAATGTAATTTACCAACTCAGATGAACTTTCATGCTGATACCAAAATTACATTTGCTCGGCCTTACCTGTAGATGATTCCGCCCGCGAGCCCGCCCAGGAGCGGTCCCACCCACCAGACATAGTGGTCCTTCCAGACTCCCGCGGCAACAGCCGGACCGAACGCGCGGGCAGGGTTCATGGAACCGCCAGAGAAAGGACCGCTAGGGAGGGGGGGGGGGCGAATAACTTAGTTACTGACGATTCGCAGTACATAAAATTCGAGTTACTTTATAAACTCCTCTTTTCTTGGTTAGGTTCCAATAGACTACTAGTATACACTATACTTAACGCGCATGCAGGAGACCAAGGATGTAGTTACGTTCTACAATTTCTCACTATCAGGGGCTGATTCCGTCTCCTCTATAGGGCCTGACCAGTGAATTTTAGGGCTGCTGAAAGTTGATATACCTAGTCAGTGTAACTAAGTTCATACTCACCAGGCCAGGATGCCGACCAGCACGTTTTCTTGCTACAAACAGTACTCAGCTAGCTGGATTTGCAGTGCCACGTTTTGTCGTGGTTACAGTTTGAGTAAAGGCAGTGCAGCTAAAGGTTGATGTAGTCAGTCTGATTTTGTACTCACCCTGCCAGAATCCCGACCAGCACGGCCAGTCCGATGGCGAGCGGCGGCAGGGCGCTGCCTGAGGTGGCGGAGTCCACAGCCGCCAGCAGCACGGTGAGAACCAGGATCATGGCGAGGAGCGGTCTCGCACAGGACGGCTCCCGGCACCGACACGCCTCCGCCCAGGGCGTGCGCGCCGCCCGAACACCCGGCGTACGTGCCGTTAGGCAGGATGGCCTGGGGAGGGGGGGGGCAGAGAGAGGGTTTAGGACCCGCTTTCCTTCGGTGTATAGGATGTTTAAGTTGTCCTCAGCTGGCGGACGAGAGCAGCGCCAGGCGGGCTGGCGTGATCAAGGCGGACCTTGAGCGTAACCAAGTCATCCGGCAGCTCGCTGCAAGCATCCCAACCGGAACCAGCACGTCTCCCTCACTCAGGTCATCTTACTCGGAAAGTCTGTACCTGTATATCTGACTATGTCTCTGTACATGAATATGTATCCGATTGCAAAATAAGAGATCACGAGTGATTGCCATAGAGAGAGAAGTTAAAACTTAAGATCGAACACAATAAAGTTCTCTCACCTAGAGCTTTCGACCAGTCACTCTGGTCTTCGACGTTAGACAGATTTAAGAACTTTATTGTGTTGGACCTAAAGTTTCCATGTTTCTTTTGTCCAATACCGCATGTTTTATTCCTTTAACTGCACCCCTATCAAATCTATACCCTCCAGCCCACCTTACCTTGGTGAACGCCGCTCCCACCATGCCTCCCAGCAGCTGGCTGATGACGTAACAGATGGCCTGCAGGACGTTGACCCCGCCGGCCAGGGTCACGCCCAGGGTCACGGCCGGGTTCAGATGGGCGCCACTGGGGGGGGGGCAGGAGTAAGTTAGAATCCATCTTTGGCATCTTCAGTAGTCTGGGCACCAGCCTTTTCACCAAAAGCAGTCACTGACGAAAGGTAGTGGATACTAGCTGAACCGTCTGACCGTTTCCAAAATCATATCCAGTTGCTTGAGTACTAGTAACTGTTTTTTGGCGTATTGTATTACCTGGATGTCTGACCTTCATCGACGTACCAGCCTTTTCAGCTTGTTAACAGGGAAGCGACTTTGAGAGCGTATTAAAGCTCAAAAGACTGGCATCCAGGCTACATCACCGGTGCAATAGACGGACTAGGATCATAGTAATCTACCTCAGTTCCATGGAAAAAGGACCAAAAGTCTATTTCATTCGTGAATTACACCTATCTAGGAGAGTTGGTCCCGGCAATCTAAATATGTTGATTGTGTAACTGTAGCAATTTGGATTTTGGAAAATAGGAAACTGATGATAGCAACACCCATATTCTTTTAAATATGAAAACATTTCTGTTTGATTGAGCCTTACCTGATGTGGCTTATGGAGACCATAATGAGAGTAACCGTGAACCCGCTGGTCAGGGCGACGGCAATCAGCCACAGGTTCCCGCCGGTGGTGGAGTAACCTGGCAACATAGAGAAAATATTCAGCCAGCGACTTTTAAAAAAATTCTCATCTTCATTATTATTAAACTTTACAGTTTTTTTCAATTCAATTTCCTTATCATGTGATCGTACTCACCTGTTACCATGGTAGTGATGAAGAGGCGTACCTGCTACCATGGTAGTGATGAAGAGTCGTACCTGTTACCATGGTGATGAAGAGTCGTACCTGTTACCATGGTAGTGATGAAGAGGCGTACCTGCTACCATGGTAGTGATGAAGAGGCGTACCTGTTACCATGGTGATGAAGAGTCGTACCTGTTACCATGGTAGTGATGAAGAGTCGTACCTGTTACCATGGTAGTGATGAAGAGGCGTACCTGTTACCATGGTAGTGATGAAGAGGCGTACCTGTTACCATGGTAATGAAGAGTCGTACCTGTTACCATGGTAGTGATGAAGAGGCGTACCTGCTACCATAGTAGTGATGAAGAGGCGTACCTGTTACCATGGTAGTGATGAAGAGTCGTACCTGTTACCATGGTGATGATGAAGAGTCGTACATGTTACCATGGTTACCCACCTGTTACCATGGTTACCCACCTGTTACCATGGTTACCCACCTGTTACCATGGCTACCCACCTGTTACCATGGTTACCCACCTGTTACCATGGTAGTGGTGAAGACGAGGATGACGACGCCGAAGAACTCGGCTAGGCAGGGCATGACGTACGTCTCGTACTTGTTGGCCGGTCCCTCCTCCTTCTCCAGCGTCAGGTGCGTCAACTCGTTTGCGTCACCCATGTTGATGGACATGGTGGTCACTGAGGGTCAGTTGTGGGCAAAGAGGGGATTCACAGAAGAAATTTGACTGTCACACATTCACAAGCAATGCTGACATATCCAATAAGTATCATGTCCTACCAAAGTTGCTAAATTTCCATGCAAAATTCTTCGCAGGTAAGACCCATCGGCCCCCTAATTTGATAGTGTCCTGTCCCCAAAAGAAACCTGCTCGGAGATTAGTTACTAGTACTTGTCTGCCCTCGGGGCCATTGCAATGTTCTAAGGTAGAATCTTCTAATTATTACATGTATATATCTAACCACCTGTGTAGCAAAGTACCTGTTGTATTATTAGTAACCTCTTGACTTACAAACTAGCCACTCCAGTGACTACTGAACTGGATGATGTCACAACAGCAGCAGCGTAGGATTTGTTCCTTAATTGACTTATAAGTGTTCATTTTCGTGTTGACACCATTACGATTTTGCATGGTGCTGATTTCCCGTCTACAAGCTGTTTACACTTCATTTGGCATCAAACATACTCCCGTGTACCGAAGAAAAACGAATTTACTTTTCTAGTGAGCAGTATTTACATATTTAACATCTTCCAATGTTGTGTAAATGAAGTTTCTTACGAAAAGTGTGAACGTTTGGACTCAAATAAACAAAGACCCAATCATATGTTACAGGCATACAGAGTAGTCTGCACACAAGCAACATAAGGTAACTTGGTAACTGTAACAAGATTGTTATTTTATGCCACGTTATCACAAGCATAAGAACATATAGGGCTTATTCACCACAGATTGTCACGTGACTCTCCCCCTGGCGTCCACCATTTTGGGGTCCAGCGTAGTGCCTATCGCTATGCAATGCTATGCAAACTCTTGGCGATAGTTGCGTATTTTGGGCCACAATCAACGTTTTGGACACTCTTCTTGTTAGTAACATTGTCCTTGGGGTTGTTTTGGCTCCGCGTCCACGTCTCATGTTGTCAAGATTGGCTTTTACGTTGTTTTTTTTTTTTGCTGATCAGAAATCGGTGTGTTTTACCCTGGCGCGGCGTAGGGGGCTGTAGAACATGGGTAGCCATGAACACGGTAAATCTGTTGGAGCTACTTGTCCCTTTACTCTGTGGTAAATGTCCATGTAGAACAGGGCGCTGACAACTTGCAACACTCACCTTGTCCAGCCACAGTCGCGGCAGTGCGGACTGAGGATGGCGGCCGATGGCCCCCGCAGCCTTTGCTCAGTGTTGTTTATCCAGACACAGTCCGGGGCTGTTCGAAAATAGCGACCTTTTGCGTTTCCCGACTACAACGTACTTAATTGTCATCACGCAACTGTCCCACAACACTTTTTACACATCCTGATACAACGCTTCCAGACTCTTAGAGGGTTTGAAACGATGTTGTGTGTAAAAACTTCTCAGCACAGTACCAAATACGAAGCTAAGTCACGTCAATGGACTCCGCTGGCGGTAGGCGGTCTCGATAAGACTGATCAAAACTCAACAAAAACGGGTCAATCCCAACAAATTTTATTTTGTTCCAGTAACGAGAGGTATGAGTGGTCGTGTAGTCGGACAAAGGACAGTTTACCTAACGTTTGTCGGCCATTTCAACGCTTGGAAACTCGCTGTACAGATGAGCCCCAAAATGGCGTCGCACGGGACATGAGGGGTCATGACGTCATGATGACGCGTGGTGAATAAGCTCTATAGACACAAGTTGGTCCTTTACAAAACATGGAAAAGGTGATCGAGCTTACCTGATTTTAGAAAGAAGTTGCCAAGATCGCTGCTGGAAACGCTTTACACTGTGTCTCTAGCCTCAAGGTGTCCCAACGCGCGTGCGCAGTAGGTCAGGCTAGCCCGGTTGTACCGCTTTTATTATCAGAGGGAGTGAATTAGAAACATCCGCCTCCAGCTGTGAACAGACTCCTGTCAGTTATACACGGGTCCTGTTGTTTTCACGGGTTTAAGAGTTCTTTGTGATGTAAAATGCTGTAACAATTGCAATGTATCTATTGTACCCAGAACCGCGTGCCTGTCTAGTCTCTGTGTCTGAATGGGTTAGGGTTAGGATCAGGCACGGTTCTGTCATTTATGCACTGGTCCTGTTGTTTTTCTCTTCACTGGTTTAATAATACTCCTTTGTAATGTGAAATGTGTAACAATTGCAATGTATCTATTGTATCCAGAACCGCGTGCCTGTCTAGTCTCTGTGTCTGAATGGGTTAGGGTTAGGCACAGTTCTGTCATTTATACACTGGTCCTCTTGTTTTCACTGGTTTAAGGCTCCTTTGTATTGTAAATTGTGTACCCAGAACCGTGCCTATCTAGTTCTATGCCTCAATGGGTTAGGGTTAGGATCGGGCACGGTTCTGGATAGTCTCTATAGTATCCAGAACCGTGCCTATCTAGTTCTATACCTGAATGGGTTAGGGTTAGGATCAGGCACGGTTCTGTCATTCATACACTAGTCCTGTTGTTTTCACGGGTTTAGGGCTACTTTGTGATGTGAAATGTGTAACAATTGAGAAGTGCCTATTGTAGTGTCGTACCCAGAACTGTGCCTATCTAGTTCTGTGCCTAAATGGGTTAGGGTTAGGATCAGGCACGGTTCTGGATAGTCTCTATTGTATCCAGAACCGTGCCTATCTAGTTCTATACCTGACTGGGTTAGGGTTAGGACCAGGCACGGTTCTGTCATTCATACACTGGTCCTGTTGTTTTCACGGGTTTAGGGCTACTTTGTGATGTGAAATGTGTAACAATAGCGAAGTGCCTATTGTAGTGTCGTATCCAGAACCGTGCCTATCTAGTTCTGTGCCTGAATGGGTTAGGGTTAGGATCAGGCACGGTTCTGGATAGTCTCTATCATATCCAGAACTGTGCCTGTTCCATACCTGAATGGGTTAGGGTTAGGATCAGGCATGTTTTTGGTAGCCTCTATCGTATCCAGAACCGTGCCTATCTAGTTCTGTGCCTAAATGGGCTAGGGTTAGGATCAGGCACGGTTCTGGATGCTAGTAGTCTCCGCGTATCCAAGAATGTAGATTTGCCTCAGTATGAACCTTAATATTGGATAGCCTTGCTTAAATTGTGTAATTAGGTATCAAGGAAGAAAGACACCCGTTGTACATCGAAATGTATATTTATCATGGATGTATTTCCAGTCCTGTGTGTACAAGATAAAACGGAATAGTGAATCTTCTATTAGACTTTACAGATGGATAAACGAATACCACATGTTGCTCCATGGATAGCGTCATCACATATTAAAGTAGCACTGTCTTGCTCTTGGAGCTCTTGGAGCTCTTGGAACCCAAACAGTATTTTACCCACCACAACAGAATATCACAGATTAGATGTATTGGGAAACACACCATACCCTGCCGTTCTGAAACACCAGTAAACTACATCACGAATCGTCCTATAGCTTTGACTGTTGTGCTCGTTTTATAGATCATTTTATAAAGAAAATGTTTTGGTAATGATAAAGTTTCCTGTACATAATCCTGTCTGTGCTTGTCAGAGCAACCATCTCTGGTAAATGTTAACCCATAAAAATAAACGTCAATGTAACAACACACACAATTATGTGTTAATAATTGTATATATAATAGTATATATTTAGATGATGTACTTATTTTCCATTTTTAAAAGAGACGTCCAAATCAAAAACCAAACCTTTGCATTAATAGCCGACGTAATACCACTAAAAGTCGACCTTTGGTCATTCTCTAGTCCAGATTAACCACTGCTGATGAACTAGTGATATGTTACTTATCCTATTGCCACCATCTTTACAGCCACTCAATAGAGTCTTGTAGCGACTGCACCGCCACAAATTTCCATCTCGTAAACGGTCGTCGACCTTCCGTGCCATATCGAGCGTATCATTTGAGTTTTTTAAGCATTTGCAAATGTAAGGGAGGATCATGAAAAATAGTAAATGTATCAGTGAAAAAAAAAAGCACAAGCTCGGATTCGACCCCGGTCTGAAAGGGTAGCTCTAAAACCCTAACCTATACCCTAACCCATACCCTAACCCTCTACGCCACGAAACATCACGGGGTGGATGGACCGTGCTGATATACTTAAATTTTAAGCCGTTCTGCGATATGGCATCAACCGTTTCAAAAGGCGACGACCGTTCACGAGACGGAAATTAGCTGCACCGCTATTTTGGTCCCCGGAAGTCTTGTGATGTTCCTCCGCTTCATCAGTACCGCTTCTTCCTGTTTCCTGCGATCAGCCGCCGGTCTGCACTGGCCAGGAACGCCCTGGAGGGAACATGGCGAGTCTTTTGTAATATTGGACCACTGAAAACTTTCTGAAAGCTTTTGTTCCTTTTTGCCCCCCCCCCAATTGTCTTCACTCATTCGCATATCAATCAATAGTTTGTGCTTATAAACCTGCATTTCCCCTCTGGTCTCTCAGTCACTGACGAAAGCTAGTGGATACTAGCTGAAACGTCTGACATTTTCAAAATCATATCCAGTTGCTTGAGTAGCTGTTTTTGGCGTATCTTATTACCTGGATGTCTAACCTCGACATCGACGTTTCTGAAGCTTGGTATTTTTTTTTTAATTTCTGAAGCTTGATATCCAGTATGCTTTGATTTCAGCTCCAACGATGCCAAACTGTTGCCGCATCGTATTTGATATTCAGTGCACGGGATATCAGGCACCGATATTGTTTACTAGCTGCTAGGCAATGTTTGGGACTATGTTTAAGGTCTTTCACCAGATTCCAGCTTTGAGCATGTGATGGCAGATTATTTTGAGACCAAGAAACATTACATTACTGACACTTCTTGTTTTTTTGTAACTTTAATCTCGGTGGTTAGCAGCTTTGTTGCAACATTCATTTCACTGTTCTACATTCCAAAACTACCTTTGTCCTGGTTAACAGTTAAAGACTATGTTAGCTCCACCTTATATTTATTATTACCTGAATATAAGCCAGGCCAGGAGAGCGCCGATGGTCGGCCCCAAACACCAGACGTAGTGGTCCTTTCAGAATACTATTAGGCTACAGCGCAAAACCTGACATTTCTCTACATTCATTTCACTGTTTTACATTCCAAAACTACGTTTGTCCTGGTTAACTAGCCTCTACCAGGCTTCGGGAGGCGCCACACCTGAAAAACTGTTCTCTCAACGGACAAACTCACTTGGCATGCTTATTTCTCTATTTGACCGGTTTCTACTCTTTCCAGCCGCCTCCCGAAGCCTGGTAGAGGCTACTGGTTAAAGCTCCCCCTTACCTGTAGATCAGTCCGGCCAGGAGAGCGCCGAAGGTCGGCCCCACCCACCAGACGTAGTGATAGTCCCACACCCCCGCGGCAACAGCCGGACCGAACGCGCGGGCAGGGTTCATGGACGCTCCGGAGAACGGACCGCTGGGGAGGCAATTCAATTCAATTTATTTATTTATTTAACCAGTAATTACAGCTCAGGCCATTTTGGCCTGCTTTTCAGGTAATCCTGGATACACATAAAAATACACACAACAAATACACAGTACATAAACTATTACTGAACACAACATCCTAAACATCAACAGTGTCAAGTCCTGCTCCTAATGATCTCCTAAAGGCGGAGGGAGGAGGGGAATCAGTTGTTTTTTATAGTGCAATTCAACATGGATAATACAGGACATGGTGGTGAGGTACTCTAGCTGTAGCTAATTTTAACCTCACCACCAGACATACGGGTATACAGTGACAAAATACATGACAAAAACAACAGGGAACAGCAAAAGGGTGGAGATGGATCAATAAATGGTTTAGATCCCAGCTATTTTGGCTAATGTTTTCTGGAGTGATTAGGTTAATTTGCATTGATTGTTTTTAGATTATAAGTTAATTTTCCATATCTTCGTTTCCCCAGCATGAACTTGCAATTTGAGATATTCTAACTATCGTATCTAGAACCATCCCAGCAACTCTATGCCTGAATGGGTCAGAGACAGGGTCTTCGATACCGGATAATTTCAGCGCATCCAAGAACGTAGATTTACCCCAGGCACGGTTCTGGATACGCAGGGACTATCCAGGACAATGCCTGAGCATGGCTCTGGATAAAGGACGGTTCTGGATACGCGTGGACTATCCAGGACAATGCCTGAGCATGGTTCCGGATAAAGGACGGTTCTGGATACGCGTGGACTATCCAGGACCGGGCCTGAGCATGATTCTGGATAAAGGACGGTTCTGGATACGCAGGGGCTATCCAGGACCGGGCCTGAGCATGATTCTGGATAAAGGACGGTTCTGGATACAACAATCATCAGTTCGTACAGTACTCACCCCACCAGGATGCCGACCAGCTCGTTTTGTTGTTGCTACAGACAGTACTCAGCTAGCTGGATTTACTGCCATGCCTTGTCGTGGTTACAATTTGAGTAAGGCAGTACTCACCCTGCCAGAATCCCGACCAGCACGGCCAGTCCGATGGCGAGCGGCGGCAGGGGCCTGGCCAGTAAAAGGCTGCTGAGGGTTGATCAGTAGCTAGTCAGTCTAACTAAGTTCATACTCACCCAGCCAGAATGCCGACCAGCACGGCCAGTCCGATGGCGAGCGGCGGCAGGGCGCTGCCTGAGGTGGCGGAGTCCACAGCCGCCAGCAGCACGGTGAGAACCAGGATCATGGTGAGGAGCGTCTCGCACAGGACGGCTCCCGGCACCGACACGCCTCCGCCCAGGGCGTGCGCGCCGCCCGAACACCCGGCGTACGTGCCGTTAGGCAGGATGGCCTGGGGAGGGGAGCATATCATACCAGATAATCCGTAGTGTGTGAGTGTGTGTGTGTGTGGGGGGGGGGTGCGCGTGTGTGTATGTGTGCGTGCGTGTGTGTGTGCGTGTGTGTGTGTGTGAATGTGTGTGTGTGTTTGAGTGTATGTTTGTGTGTGTGTATGTAGGTCTTGTTTGCTTTGTAACATACTTGTGTTAAAGTCGCAAGGAATGGATAATGACATGCTCTAATTATGATAATCTTTTTCTGTTTCTATAGTTACCATTTTGAGGCTATTTCAATGGGTTGATTCTCTACCACTGCGTGTATTATGTATCTAGCTGTGCCTTTATGAAGCCTGTACCTTACCTTGGTGAACGCCGCTCCCACCATTCCTCCCAGCAGCTGGCTGATGACGTAACAGACGCCCTGCAGCACGTTGACCCCGCCGGCCAGGGTCACGCCTAGGGTCACGGCCGGGTTCAGGTGACCGCCACTGGGAGGCAGCAGTAAAGTAACATCAGACATGTTTAGAGTTAAAACTTTGGATCCAACAAAAAAAAGTTCTCTCACCTATAAAGCTTACGACCAGTCACTCTAGTCTTCCTCAGTAGACTGACCCAGTGAGGCTTGTCACGTGGCTTCTTTGAACACTGGGTCAAAGGTATCTGGTAGACCATGTCGGCCCCCTCACTGGGTCAGTCCTGAGGAAGACCAGAGTGACTGGTCGAGAGCTCTGGTCAGTCTGGGTGAGAGAAATGTATTGCGTTGGATCAAAAGTTTTAAAGTTAAAAGCATGTAACTACCAACACGGATGGACTTTCATGGTAACATCAGACATGTTCAGTAGCCTGGATGCCAGACTTATGAGCTGTAATACGCACTCTTAGTCGTTTTTGGCCAGGAAGCGACAAAGATTGCGTACTATTGAGCTCAGAAGGCTGGCATCAGGTTACATCATCATTTAATCGTTCTAGAGATTTGTAGTCACGCGATTTTATGACATAAGATTACGAAATCAAGTCATCATAGTTTTCATAGTCTTAGGTGTAAGAAAGTACACGTCACTCGTGAACAACGAAAGTTACGAGATACTAACGAGTGACTGACGAAAGGTAGTGGAAGCTGCCTGAAATACCTGACCGTTTCCAAAATGATACCTGATGTTTCTGATGGCGACGATGAGCAGCGCGATGGTGAGTCGGTCCCCCTGACTGGGTCAGTCTCCTGAAGAAGACCAGAGTGACTGGTCGAAGGCCTTAATACGCTCTCTCAGTCGCTTTTTAGCAGGGAAGCACCAAAGAGGTTGTACTGTACCTGATGTGTCCGATGGCGATGATGAGCAGAGCGATGGTGAGTCCGTGCGCCAGCGCCACGCCAAGCAGCCACAAGCTCCCGGCAGACGCGGAGTAACCTGCCAACATGCAACAAACTTTCAGCCGGCAAATTTGGGCAAATGTGTTCTAGGCATTAATAAGTTAATAAGTACAGAGACGCAACTTTGGGCAAAATGTGTGGGCTTGGAAAAGCACAGAGACGGTAGAAAAGCATCTGGAGCTAGAACTTTTTAAAACAAAGCTACGGGAAGACGCGGTTATAGTCATCGTAGACCACTGTTTGTTTGTTTGCCACGGGATTTTCATAGGATTTTGCCAAACCAGCCGTCGATATTTATCCACGGTAGCCTTTCCGCCAGAGGTGATTTTTGCACACGATACCACTCTGACTTTGCACACGGCACCACCGTGACCCACCTGTTACCATGGTTACCCACCTGTTACCATGGTACCGATGAAGACGAAGATGAGGAGCCCGACGAACTCGGCTAGGCACGGCATGACGTACGTCTCGTACAGGTTGGCCGGTCCCTCCTCCTTCTCCAGCGTCAGGTGCGTCAACTCGCTAGTGTCGTCCGTGTTCAGGGACATGGCGGGCATGGGGGGGGGCAGCCTGTGGGGAAAGGGGAAGATCATATTATATTGTATACAGTATATATACAGTATAATATATATTCAAACATCTATGTATCTACTATCATGAAAGTTCATTTGTGTTGGTAGTTACATGTTTAAAGTTAAAACTTTTGGTCCAACACAAAACCCAGTGTTGACGTCACACTTTAAAGAAGCCAAGTGACAAGCTTCACTGGGTCAGTCTACTGAGGAAGACCAGATCTATGTATCTAACACTGGTAGAAATTAGATTACGTAAACACTGCTCAACAGAATAAAGATTTCGTGTCGTCGTGTGGCGTAGCGGCAGCGTGCTAGACTCGGAACCAAGAGGTCCCGGGTTCGAGTACTAACATGCCACCGATCTTGTGTCCCTGGGAAAGGCACTTTACACGATTTTCTTCACTTAACTCATGTGAAAATGAGTATTGTCCTGTCATGTATTTGTCCCCTGTGTTGGTGGCGGCATTAATATAAGTTGAAAAAAACTTGAGTGTGCCGTCACCACGTCTTGTGATTGCATGTTGGAATATAGATTAGATAAAAAGGGGAAGAGAAGAAATCGGTAGTAACGGACCATATTACCAGAAACAACTGTGCGATAGACTGGGGGGGGGGGAGGTCATTCATAGAGAAGACAACAGGAGAATGCGATGGATCAAAGAAGCAGTCTGGATAAGGAAGTAGACCCCAGTGATGAAAAGGGACGAGGGGGGTTACAAACTCAGCCACGTTTGGGATTGTGTTCTCACCGCAAAAGCGCCACCTACATCGGCTAGAAGCTCTGAGGAAGCAAAGGTGTCTACGTTAGCAGGCCTTAGCAAGATAAGCCAGTATTGCTTGTGTAAAAGAAACCCCTATATCCCAGGCAAACAGGAAATTTTCTAAAGAGACTCAGACAGCGGCATATCTACAAACTAGCCTGTTAGGTACCTGCCACACATAGCCGGATATGGCCTCCCGAACACGGCCGAACTCTCCCGACCATGGTTAGGAGTAGGTTGGGAATAAAAGAGGAGGTTAGTAAAATGTTAAACTTAATTCCAACACACAGGTTATACAGAGATCAAATTTTCAGGGACCATCGTTGCCTTCATCGGAATAATGAATGACCTATCACCTCAAAACGTAATCTCGCGAGAGTTACGGTTACAGACACGTGACATTATTCACGCTGAAAATTCGATCTCTGTGTACCCCTAGTGTGTTGGAATAAAGTTCAACGTTTTACTATGATTACTACCAACAAAGATGAGCTTTCATGACAAAAAGAAGAGGTTCTTAGAAGAGACTTAGACGGTGCATGTGAAACCTACGAACTAGACTGTTAGTTAGTCAAAGAGGAGATTCTGAGAATTCCAAGATACTAAAGTTCCTATCACACATAGGCAACTCCCCGACCATGGCTAGGAGTAGGTCGGGAGTATTAAAAGGTCGGCTACTATTCAGATGTACCAGTCGATTGTCACAAAATATTTAAGACATTTGGGTGTGGGGAGGTTGGGCCAAGGTTGGGCGGTGGTCTGGGTCACCGAGGGTCAGCTGCAGGCAAGAAGGAAATTTTATGAAGAGACTTAGCCAGAGGTGCCAAAGAATTCATACGAATTTTACTGGATACATGCGATCCATTACTCGGAAACATACGGTCCTTACTTATTTGGTGACCTGCTTCTTCGTTCTTAGTTGGTTAGTCGGGGGAAGGTTCTGAATGTGTGACAGTTTTTTTTTCTCACTTTTTATGCCCACTGTCATGCCACTAGTAACTGTGTGTGCTTGGAGATTACTGTCTTAACAAGACTGCCGTATTTCTGTCCAACCAATTCACGATCTTAGAGAGATTGCCCTTGTACGGAAGCTGCTATTTTAAATCTACCGTAAAGTGTCTGCAGCCACAGACAGCAAAACATGAATATTAAACAGTTGGTTGCCCTGAGGCCGTTACAGTGTAGGAGAGAACGGGTCCGTAATTATCATTCCCAGGCCAAGGTGCGGGTAACCTCCTGACTTCTACATAAACAACGCTTATCCTCCGCAGCAGGCTTATAGAACTGGGGGTTGGTGGTCTTCGGCTGTTTTCTGATTAGCCTCCGTAGCAGGCTTATAGAACTGGGGGTTTGGTGGTCTTCGGCTGTTTTCTGATTAGCCTCCGTAGCAGGCTTATAGAACTGGGGGTTTGGTGGCCTTCGGTTGTTTTTCTGATTAGCCTAGTTCTAAAAACGGGGGTAATTCAACCAGGCCGGCAATGTTGTCTATATGCAATCAGAAAATAGCACATAAAAGCTCCCAAAGACCCCGAAGACCCCCCCAAAACCCCCAGGCATGCTATGAAGGCTAAACGACGTTAGTATAGCACTGTGCCTTACAATTGTGCTTCACCAGCAACGTAAAATTTGTTTCGTTACGTTGTTTTCTTTAAGTAACGCCACATATATTTCCCAAGTAAATATGTATTACAATGTACTACATATATTTCATATCATTTTGTATAAGCGACAGTATTATTGTGACATCTCCTACATTCTCTCTAAACTTGACCTAGTATGAAACACCTTATGAAACACCCCAAGTACTGAAGAAAGTCAGTTTTAATCTTAGTAAGAAATGTTTACCAGATGAATGAGCATCTACCAAACGTTAGTTCTCTGCCCCCGGGGCCGTTTTGAATGTTTAACAGTGCAGACTTCGTAATTATCATACCCAGGCCACGGTGCGGCTGACCTCCTGACATATACATGAACCACGCCAGTATAGCACTGTGCTGGATAATCTCACTTCATCAGCAACGTAAGGTTTGTTTCTTAAGTATATCTATTATTACATACATATTATATATATCATGCTGTATAAGTGACAGCATCACTGTAATATCTTATGGTGCCGATCTCCTACATTCTCTCTAAATCTGACCTAGTATGAAACACACTATGAAACACTCTACGTAGAAAGCGCTTAACAAATGTTTACAAGGACAATCAGCCTTCACTCCTGTTAGTTGCCTGCCCCAGGCCCGTTTGGACGTTTACGTAACAGTGCAGACTTCGTAATTATGGTTCTGACCTCACGGTGCGGCTGACCTCCTGACATATACATGAACCACGCCAGTATAGCACTGTGCTGGATAATCTCACTTCATCAGCAACGTAAGGTTTGTTTCTAAAGTATATCTATTACTACATGCATATTATATATATATTATGTTGTATAAGTGACAGTATGACTGTAATATCTTATGGTGTCGATCTCCTATATTCTCTCTAAACTTGACTTGGTCTGAAACACACTATAAGATACCCTACTGAAGAAAGCCAAACTCAATCCCCTATTAAGAAATGTTTACAAGGTCGATCAGCCTTCACTCCTGTTAGTTGCCTGCCTTCAGGAACGTTTGGACGCTTACGTAACAGTGCAGACTTCGTAATTATGGTTCTGACCCCGCGGTAAGGCTGGCCTCCTGACATATACATAAACCACGCCAGTATAGCACTGTGCTGGATAATCTCACTTCATCAGCAACGTAAGGTTTGTTTCTAAAGTATATCTATTATTACATACATATTATATATATCATGCTGTATAAGTGACAGCATCACTGTAATATCTTATGGTGCCGATCTCCTACATTCTCTCTAAATCTGACCTAGTATGAAACACACTATGAAACACTCTACGTAGAAAGCGCTTAACAAATGTTTACAAGGACAATCAGCCTTCACTCCTGTTAGTTGCCTGCCCCAGGCCCGTTTGGACGTTTACGTAACAGTGCAGACTTCGTAATTATGGTTCTGACCCCGTGGTAAGGCTGGCCTTATGACATAAACCACGCCAGTATAGCACTGTGCTGGGTATTACGTTGTATAAGTGACAGTATCATATGATTGTGCTATCTCTCTAAACTTGACCTAGTATGAAACACCCTACGTACTAAGGAAAGCTGTTTACAATGTCAGTTCATTGTCAATCAGCCTTCACTACTACTGTTAGACCGTTTGGACGTTTACGTAACAGTGCAGACTTAATAATTATCGTTCCCACGCCACGCCAAGGTTATCCTAATCTCCAAGCAGATCCCTCTCCGTGGCAAAAAGACAGTGTCAAATTGGCCAGGCAGTATCCATTAGTCAGAGAAGGTCGCCGGCCACCGACGGGGGTAGCGACAAAAAACGGGCCATATATAAAAAGGTAACGATCATTCCCCACAACCTCTGCTTGGAGAGTAAGGTTAACCTTTTCCCACACACATATTAGCCACGCCTGCATAACCGCGTACTGTATAATGTAACAGTAACGTGGAATTTCATCATTAATTGAGAAAAAGTGTACATTTTCGTGACGTCGCCATTACTATTTCTCATCATTCTGACATCCTCTACTACACTTGACTCAGTATAATATATGTACACAAGTCTGCCTACCTAGGGAAACTAATATCTTTGTTCTTTTTTTTTTATATTCCAAGATGTAATCGCCAGACGTGGTGACGGCACACTCAAGTCTTTTCAACTTATATTAATGCCGCCACCAACACAGGGGACAATGCAATACTCATTTTCACCTGAGCGAAGTGAGGAAAGTCGTGTAAAGCGCCTTTCCCAAGGGCACAAGATCGGTGGCATGTCAGGACTCGAACCCGGGACCTCTTGGTTCCGAGTCGAGCACTCTGCCGCTACGCCACACGACCCCACGACATCTTTATCCTGTTGAGCAGTGTTTACGTATCTAATTTCTACCAATGTTAGATACATAGATGTTTGAAAACTGTATACAAACGGGTAAACAAAGACCCTCTCATATTTAACGACTACCGCAGTGTAGTCTGCAAGCAACACGCCCCGAAGTTACTTTCTCTCACGGTTAATTCAGTTTCACTGTTCCCTCGTGCCCCGTTCACACATGCATGCATGGCAACAGTCATTAATAGTCAGTGTACTTTAGCTACACCTTAGAGTCCTTTACAAAGCATAGGGAGTGTGTTTGAGCTTACCTGCTCAGGAGAGGAGTTACTGGGATCACAAACGGAGGTGTCGAATGTGTTACCCTGAGTCTTACGGATTATGGTGTGTCCAACACGCGTGCGCTGTAAGTCATGCTAGGCTGGTTGTACCGCTTAGAACATAGCACCAGAGGGTGCGGGGTAAAGTCATGCAGGGTGTGGAGAATATATCGGCCTCGAGCGTTTCAGAGAAATCTACCATCTATATACACCAGAACTATAGCCTGAGTGTCAGCCTTTTTAGCTTTCGCCCGCTCCCCAAGATCCGCTACCGGCAAAAGCGTATGTTGGGGAGCGAAGCCTCTACCAGGCTTCGGGAGGCGGACGAGAGTTTAAAAGGCTGACACTCAGGCTACGAGACCTATGACTTCCATGTTATAGCTGCAGCGTGCCCGTATAATGTAAATTGTATATAACAATCGCTTGCTGTAATTTTGCACGACGCTATTAGGCTTGATTTAACGGTTCGTTTTGTGTCATTAACGCTGGCGATCACCCATGACACGTAACTACCCACTGATGCATATCAGGCAGGTTACCCGCTTGGGTGAACACAGCCAGCGTTAACATGGTGGAGAATGAATACAGACCTTTATTGTACACACATACCCAATGGGTACAAGCTCACAACAAAAGAACAGAATACAGAGAACGTTATACATTTATATATACAAGTAACTACAACTATAAGCTACTTTGACTTCTTATCGTTTCTTAGTGATGGTAAAAAAAAAGATAAGAACAGATATGTTTCATAATTAAAGGTTTGTCTAAGTTCACTAGAAATATCATGAAATTTGTACTGCTTATATGTGTATGAAGTATTGGAACGTGGATTGTATCGCACTATATAATGTTCGCCTCCTGAACAGATATTTCTAGCCGACCCACTATGCGGGTTCTTTTCGCTAAGAGAGCTGTATCTGGGGTTTGGGATGGTGGCTACCGGATAACTAGACACTGTAAGGCTTGTCACGTGGCGTCTTTGAAGTGTGACGTCAACACTGGGTTAAAGCCTCACTGGGTCAGTCTACTGAGGAAGACCAGAGTGACTGGCCGAAAGCTCTAGGTGAGAGAACTTCTTTGTGTTGGATCTTAAGTTTTAACTTTAAACTTGTAACTACCAAAACAGATGAACTTTCATGATAGCAGTGGTTCGCTGATGGTTAATGTTTGCAGTTCCTTATAAGCCGGGCTTTAGTCAGGTTTAGGAAGTGAACAATTCTCATCCTGTAGTCGGAGTGTCCTTCTTAACGTTGTTCCTCCATAAAATCACACGACGGTCCTCACTGGCCAGCAGAATTCTGTAAGCAGAAAAAGGGAATGTTTGGAAATTCTTTAAACAAAAACAACAAATCTATTTTTTTTTATTCATCAAAACATGAAGACATAACAAGGACAGTGTGACGCTGCACTCACGTTAACAACATATATTAACAGCGCCACACAACAAAAAAGGTACAATCAACATTTAAATATACAAAGTTGACATATCTGTGCGCCGTAGTCCCACCACCCCAGGGCATTAACAATGTTAAATTAGATTCTAAAAAAGCTATTTGAAAGATAAGATAAGATTACGTGGTAACCTCCTATATCTCATTGGCGGAAAAACATCCACCAATCAGAGCTAGGAGGAGAATTTAAGCCCATTAACACAATGTAGTATTTGGACTTCTATATCTAATTGACCTATTCTGAAGGGGAAGTTTTATTACGGACAATAACTGCTGAAATTAGATGACAACAAGATGACAAAAGATGATTGTCCTACCTGTAAATGCCTGCCGATAGCAGCCCGCCCAGTAGCGGCCCCACCCACCAGACGTAGTGGTCCTTCCAGACCCCCGCGGCAACAGCCGGGCCGAACGCGCGGGCAGGGTTCATGGAACCACCAGAGAAAGGGCCGCTGGTTGTGAGGGGAAGAGAAAAGTTAGCCTGGGTACCATCAGGATTTTGCATCATTGTGCTTGATTTTTTCTAGCGTAATGGAGCAAAATTCGGATAGTACTCAAGCTAGAAAAAAGTCAGAACAGGAGAACATCAGTAGCCATGAACATATCGTACAACGTTAACGTTGCTGAATTTGAGTAACTGTTTAATGGCCAAAGGTGACCCCAGATGGAACACGCGTTCGCATTTCGTCAGATCGAACATGATTCGGGGACACTCTGGCCAACATTTGACCGTGGTGGGAGGCATGTAGCAGTATAGCCTTAAGCTAAAACTAACAAGACTGGGTTCCAAGCCACAACTGTCCCAAGAATACCCAGAAATGTGCTGCCAGGAGCCTATGTAGTAGTGGCTAAATGACCACAGGTGACCCCAGATGGAACACGCGTTCTGTTCGAATTTCGAACACGAGTTCTGTTCGAATTTCGAACACGCGTTCTGTTCGAATTTCGTCAGATCGAACATAATTCGGTTCGAATTTCGTCAGATTTTTGGCCCACATTTGGACCATGGTGGGAGGCATGTATCTGTATCTGTATAGCCGGTATAACCGCCCTTCGGCGTAACACACCAGCTTCTGTATCTGTATAGCCGGTATAACCGCCCTTCGGCGTAACACACCTAGCTTCTGTATCTTGTACTAGCCGGTATAACCGCCTTCGGCGTAACACACCAGCTTCTGTATCTGTATAGCCGGTATAACCGCCCTTCGGCGTAACACACACCGGCTTGAAAGGCACGCGGCGCGGCGGCAGCATGCCCGAAACTTACCCGCACATAATCCCGACGACCACTGCCAGCGCGACCGCCAGTGCCGCCAGAGGCTGTTGTCTGTTAACGGAGTCCACCCCACACATGAGGATGGTCAGTGTCAGGAAACAGGTGATGAGCACCTCACACAGAATAGCGCCCCCAGCGGTCACACCCGGTCCTACAGAGTGCGCCCCGCCGAGGCATAGTGAGTACGTGCTGCTCGGTAGGATGACCTGAAATAATGAAAATTGTCTAGTTTTATGAATATCATGAGGTTGGCAAGAGGTAAGCAGGTTCTTTATCCAACAACTAGTAGGTTTGTCACCTCCGACGTTGCGGTGACAGTCTGTCACCTCTAGCCTCCATTTCAGGCGTTCCCGGATCGGCCGTTTTTTTGTATCTCCGTGGAGATATATGTAGGGTTGCCGGCCGGAGCTTCTATTGAGTGCGATCTACGTTTGATCAGAAAATACCCCCCCCCCCAACACACAAAAAAAAACCCGACCGATCCGGGAACGGCTAAAAAGGAGGTTAGTCACCTTCAGGGCAACACTGACTGGTACTGCAGGTAGGTGTCGCTGCTGCACTGTACGTTACCTTGGTGAGGACTGCTCCGGTCACTGACCCCGCTAGCTGCGCGATGACGTAAGGGATGCCCATAAAAGGGTTGAAGTCCCCACCTAGCGTGATCACCATGGTTACGGCTGGGTTGAGATGGGCGCCGCTGGAACAGGTGAGAGGAAGAACAGGTGAGAATTAAGGGTTATGATTCTGGATAAAACACGGTTCTGGGCACAACAGGCCTTTTTTGACTTAGCATGAAAGTTCATCTGTGTTGGTACAAGTCATCATGAAATAAAGTCCAACACTTAGATTACAGAAATGGGACTTACCCCAAATTTTCGGCTGACTCCATCAACCCTGTTCACGGAATGGAAGGGGTTAAAATCCTCGATTCTGAATCGGACTTCTTTGCAAGAGGAGTTAAAGAGGCAGTCTACATAAGAGACGTACCCTGAACAGGGACGGGGGGCGACACAAGTTATCTGGCACGTATGACCCGCTACTATAGTCACGTGTCTCTGACGTCACGTTCCAAGAGTAGACGGGTCCATTCCGTGAACTAGGTTGATGGAGTCAACCGAAAATTTGGGGTAAGTCCCAATTCTGTAATCTAAGTGTTGGAAGTTAAACTTAGTCTTTATTTTATAAGGCCCTTCTTTGGTTGTTGCCTGTTAATGTAGGCTACATTGATGCAGGAAAGATAGTGATGATTACTAACTCAGCTGATTACAGCACTGAAAGTAAGGTATGTGCGTCCAATTCCTATCAAAAGAACCATTGCATGCAGTTTTCATACATTTAAATGATAATTACCTGATTGGTCCTATGCCGACGAGCAGACAGAAAAAGGCGAACGCGGTCGTCAGGGACACGCCTAGCAACCAGGCGGGGCCAGCCGTGCTGCCGTAAGCTGTACAAGGAAAACATTTTTTAAATTCCAACATATAATCACAAGACGTGGCACGCACACTCAAGTTTTATCAATTTAATGCCGCCACCAACACAGGGGACAATACAATGCTCAATTTCACCTGAGCTATGTGAGAAAAGTCGTGTAAAGTGCCTTTCCCAAGGGCACAAGATCAGTGTCATGTCAGGACTCGAACCCGGGACCTCTTGGTTCCGAGTTGAGCACTCTGCCGCTACGCCACACGAGAACATTTTGTGAACATCTAGTCTACTTAACCCTGCCGTACCTGACACCATACAGATGACGAACACGAACAGCGTCATCCCCACGTACTCCGCCACGCACGGCAGGATGTACGCCCCGTACAGCCGGGCGCCGGGCGGGTCCCGGGGCTGGTATAGCCGGGCGCCGGGTGGGTCCCGGGTCTGGTATAGTCTAGTCTACTTAACCATGTCGTACCTGACACCATACATATGACGAACACGAACAGCGTCATCCCCACATACTCCGCCACGCACGGCAGGACGTACGCCCCGTACAGTCGGGCGCCGGGCGGGTCCCGGGCGGGCTCCTGCGGGGCGTCCTGCCCGATGGTCGTCAGGGAGGAGATGCTGACCGACTGCCTGACGCACCGCAGCTGCACGGCGGTGTCGGCGGGGGAGGTCGTGTGGTCGTACGCGCTGTTCTGGTAGGCATAGTCCTCCTTTCCTGAGGGAGAAATGTAGGAAAACGTATTGTTTTTACTCTGTTTCTTCTTCCTTTTCTTCTCCAAACAAATAAGGTCAATGACCTGGACTAGACGTCTGTCACCATGGTAACTAGCATTGTGGTGTTGGGTTACATTATGTAGCAGGGCAGAGATGGAGGGACTGCTCATCATATATTATAAATGAATGTGTTTGAGTTACAATAAACAAACAAAGTAGAACGCGTAACTTAGCCTGTGCCGGTCAACACTCCATTATCTCATCTCTCGTCATAAAATAGCTCTCAATCACAGTTTTATTTCGCTCTTGCCTGACGCTAACAAGTTTACAGCTTTGGGCATGGATCTGCATGTACCTCCATTGTTTTTCGCCCCCCTTGACCGTGGAAGGAAATGTGGAGCGACCTTCTCTGGCTAATGGATACTGCCTGGCCAATTTGATACAACTGTCTTTTTGCCAGCGAGAGGGATCTGCTTGGAGATTATATTAAGTTATGGTGTACAAATAGTGACGCCTACTTTTTGTGTAATACAGCGTGATCAAGCTCAAAGGTCGGGACTACAGGCATATTAACGCAGCCACTTCAAGGTAAAACAACGGCAACGCGATATGTAATCATGCAGTTAGTCTGTTCAATACACATGCAAAATGTTCTCGGCAAAGAATCAGACATTTTTAAACACGACATGCCTGTCGAAAGACAACCCTACAATGTCGTACTTGTTGTACTCGTGAGTTGTACGATTTTGTTGTCGTAGAAATTTAACGAAAGATGTGACAAAACCAACCGCCGACAATGATATAAGACAGAACGTTTCTGTCACAAAACACACGAATTTGGTACGACAGATCCACGACTATTGTGCGACAATCGTGCGACAATACCGCACGACAAATGTAAAATAAAACTTACTTGTCGTCTGTTGAAGGTTCTCCGCTTGCACGGTTCCGGACATGTTGAGCGATGTTGTATGAACTCTTCTCCCAAGTTTTTTTTGTGAACTTTGAGACGAAATCTTACCCCGACCGACACTCTGATGCCCTTAACTTGACAAAGTGGGTAAAAACCTGAACAACTTCCAAGGTGTGAACGCCCCTTTTGGGGACGAACCGTTAATGAGAGGTGAGGGTGTGTGTTGCCCTAATTAATCTCCATTAATCTCTTGGTGTGGGGTCGTGTGGCGTAGCGGCAGCGTTCTCGACTCAGAACCAGAGGCCCCAGGTTTGAGTCCTGACATGCCACCGATCTTGTGCCCTTGGGAAAGGCACTTTACACGACTCTACTCACTTAGCTCAGGTGAAAATGAGTATTGTCCTGTCGTGTTGGTGGCGGCATTAATATAAGTTGAAAAAACTTGAGTGTGTCGTCACCACGTCTTGTGATTACATGTTTCGGAATTAAAAAAAATCTCCATGTGTGTGTGTGTGGGGGGGGGGTGTGTGTGTGCATGGTGCTTCTTTACGTACGTTAAGTTGGGAAAGACGGCGGCAACGCATTACGTTATTCGAGGTGGTAACAGTAAGTTGGAATGGTTTGATAAGGGAGTACTGGAGACTGGTAATTTAACGTTCTTCCTTCTTCTTGGCTTGGCTTCGTTTCCGAAGATTTCAGGGGCCCTTCCCTCTCCTGCTGCATGCCCGCTGGTGGCTAACAAGGCTGATACGTGACAGACATACTCTGCCACAATGGCTGCAGGTAAGTGACGGGTCTGGTGTTGGAGCCGTGACGGTGCAGTTCTTCCTCTGTAACAATGTAACGTTCTAGGGTTTGGTTTGAATACTCAGAGTTTGGTTTGGTTTGGTATATTTAGATTTCATATTTTCCAGCTGACATTATGTGTTTGTTAAACGCCTGATGTAGAAAAGCCCCGATCCCGCTTGTCGACGTTATATTTGAGCAGCCCGGGTAAGAATGACTTGCAAAATGGGTTCAAAACGGCTGAATTACCCGTACGGACATTCAAGTTGCGGTGGAAAAGTTTTTGACAGCAATCTATTGAGGTTTATTGAGGAAAAACTCTCCTTTAGCTGCCCACCCGAGGGTGGCAGCTATTCTTCCAGGAGAGGGTACATACATGTAAGACATAACAATACATCACATACAATTACATATACATTTACATTACATAGTATCTTAAAAGAAAACAAGTGTGTGGCATTGTATGTGTTCTACTTATTCATGTCCCTCATGTGCTTTAGTAGGCCTTGTTTGAACTTCTCATGTGATGACACTGTTTGTAACCCATGTGGTAGAGAGTTCCAGGCTGCAGTAGTTCTGTATGTGAAGGCTGTGAATCTACCCTAGCAGAGAACTGTTACTACGGGATTCAAAGCCGGTAGGCCGGAAAACTGGTAAGATTTTCCACATTCCAACATCTGCTTGGAGATTGTGTCTTCGGCAACAGAAATTACAGAAAGGCATGTGTACGTCATATGTAAGGTTATTCATCGTGTGGTTACGTAAGCATTTTGTTTATGTTTGTTTTGTCATTATGTAATGAAGGAGCGTGGCTTTGAAACATCGCATGGTGCCATTTGGGAATAATTCTGCTAACAAGGAGGGAACTTTCAATGGTTTAACATGTAGATTTTACCCTTTTTTCTATAATGTGCTAACGTAAACACTAGCTTGGGTTGTAACATTACAATTATAACACTCCTGGTTAAGCATTGGTTTACAGCAACTGCAAGGTTCTAACTACATGTAGAAGTCCTGATGGTGGAAAGAAGATGCCGGTGTACTCTTGTTTTAAACGACTGGAGGTTGTTTCAGTGATCAGGCTGACCACGTTGTCTGGCACCTCCTTTGACTTTATTAGTATCCACAATTAGCGTACAATTAATAAACTGAAGCTATTCTTCCTGTGGTCCATTCTGACATGTACACACATACGACACACAGGGAATATATCAAACATAAACTAACAGTAGCAAAAATACTAACACACACCATCTAAATATACCTTATGCTCTGTAAGAACGCGCGATGTCCGTGTTACGTTATCAGAAGTAACCCTCACCTTCTGACAGACTCAGTGTAAAGACTAAAGTGCACCTCGCGTCCTGACTACAGAAGTACGAACCGCGCCGGGTTCTTATTAAACTTGTCAATCACAGCAGTAGGTTGTTATTAGGGTGACCCTGCATTTTTGGCATGTCAAAAGGAACACACAAACACACCTGTGGGGACACAGAAATTATCTTTGCTGTGGGGTCGCCTGGTGGTTTACATTAGAACTGCAGAAAAGGTATAAGTAGGAAAATGCATTGACTTCAAACTACGATGTCTGCTTACGTTACCTTCTGCGCACCCGTACATATTTGTTTATGGTTTTCATAAATAGATGTCTATATATATGACCAAACAGTCAAGATGAATATACATATAGCGTTCTTCATTATATCTTTCTTTCATGCACCGAAATAGAAGCATCTCCTTCATTGCCTGGCTGTAGCCTCATCGAGGCAATAAAATAAAGATGGATGAATTGAAAGAACGCATTAAAAAAATATAACGCATTAAAGGGACAGTTGATCACGTTCTGGTGATGTCCCTCCTCCCTGACCGCCTCCCACAGACCGACTTCGTCAGCAGACGCCGGTCTTCGCTCGCCAGCAGGAGCCTGGACAAATTGAAAAGTAAGCTCTCTTCAGGTGGTACAAGAAGACACCGAAGGAATTTAACTCAACAGTTTTGGACTAACGGGCTAGGAGTGTAGCCTCCACCAGGCCTTTCTACGGGTGTACGGATCCTAAAATTCAGTAAAAAAAAAGAGAGAATTAGTTGGCTAGGAGAGTCAGTCCACGGGTTAAATGCGCGTGTGGCCAGTCAAACCCCAAGGCGGTCAAACTGCCCTGGCAAATATTCTCCTATCCTATATATATATAGCTAACGTAGTTAGTCTGGTAGAGACTCTGAGGATTGAATAGTCGGTGAACGTGATTGGGATGACTGACCCCAATCCGACCATATTAAAACCGTGGTTCGAACCTGTACTGAATTCCGTACTGTAGTCTTCTTCAGGTTTGAATGAGCAATCGCGGACCACGTGACCTTATGACGTCAGCAACACTCTACAGGTGTCATCAAACCCATTAAACATATCCACAGACAGAATTCCAGCCCTTCCTGTAGATCACGACATAGACTTGTGTAACAGGATTGTCTGTCTGTTTTAAATAAATTATATCATAATTTGGTAAATACGTTATAGATATTGTCTAGTGATGCTGTCAAGTCTTTTATGTATATGTATTGTACGTATATTCGTGAATGAATGCCAGTAAGACTAGTGGACCCTTGGGCCCAGTGCTAATGGTTATTATGGGTTCACCACACCACGAAGAAAAATGTCCTGAGCTTGTTTCCTTTTCCTACCACGTACATTTCTTCAAATATATTTATATATTCCCAATGCATATTTCCATATATATATATTTGAAGAAATTTACGTCGTAACAAATGTTCTTACAAACATGCTTATTGGGAAGACGTTCCTCAATTATACTAAGTAAGACATATCTACATGCAAGTTTATACATATGTTTACATTTATACTAAGTAATACATCTACACGCAACCAACTAGAAACCAGCAGGTATGTCTCTAGTCAGCCATTTTGCCAGATTGCCCTATAACCTCCGACCTTGACCTCTGTAGGAAGAATCGTTTGTCCTTGTGAGCATGTACTTCAACCCATTAACAACCCATTTCTCACATACCCACCTGTCTGATATCACATTGGATATTGGGACCAGGTAAACCAGACAATTCCTTATATATGATACTCTGTCTACTGCCAAATTTGGACACGTCCCAAGGCTAACTGCGATTAGAGAACCGGTTCAAATATAACATTTGTAATCTTACGAAAAACCCTTGATAGGCCTGCTTAGAAGATTCTCATTCATACATTCGTACATTAGTACACATGGTCAACATATAGAGTCATATTATCCATGTAAGAAGTGTGTTGAGTTAAACGATCATTCGTGACAACTAACACAGGGCGCTATTTCAGTCGAAGTGCAACCAAGCGGAAAAGTCTGTCTGGCCCGACATGTTATCTACATGGGAACAGACCTGTTCGTACATACACAACAGACCTGTCGACAGACATACATGTACATGTATCCCCTACTTACCAGTAGGTTCAGAGGGACGATCCGCATGGACACGGGTGCCAGACATGACGAAGGATACGCTTCACTGTCTTAACAGTTTTCGTGAAGAAGTGACGAAATGTTCGTAACGTAACCTGTCCGACGTCCCCTATGTTATGACTCGGCAGTTCGCCTTGCCGGCACAGTCCCAGCCAAATGCCGCCGGAGGCTACATGTAATTATACCACCCCGTTCTTCTGCACTGCTGGCACCGATCGCCGTAAACTTTCCTCGGGGCCTTGTTGGCCTTGGTGCCGAGAATCTGGCCTGTTTAGTCCCCCAGCCGAGCTCGAGTAGCTGGCCTGTGTTTGCGATTTATGCGATTTTGCAGTTAAGACTTTAAAAAGATTTTTTTTTACACTAACAGTGCTACATACGATCAGACACGAAGACACGGCCACACAAAGTGTTAAAAATTAGAGCAGGTTTAATCGCAATTTTATCGAGTCACTAAATTATCCCTAAAGCTTCAATCCTGTCAAGAAGACCGTTTTGTCTAGATTCGTTAACCTTTTTCTGAAACGTTTGCAATTCCAAAAATGCAGACACATACTCGTACTTGTCCAAACTAGGTATGCATACAAATGCAAATCTGGATTATATTGTACATTGATGTCATGATCTTCCAGTAATTTTCCTATACTATAATTACATATAGTATAATATCATGCATCTTAGATGCCCAACTAACTTCATAGCATAGATATATCGTGTTTGCAACAGTATATCGTATATTCAAAGACTTTTAAATCGGGCTTAATTATGACATTGGCAAGAACCGTAAAACACTAAACCTCTATTTAATGATATGCACAAAATTACCAATTTCAGGAAGACTAACGTTATATATGGCGAAGACGATAATCTAAGGTAAGCTATTTTAACCTTCTCCTTGTATCTATGAACCCATAAGCAATAAACAAAAAGGTGCCAAATAGCTACCTTGGTATACTGAAGGTTAACAAAAGCATGTGTTCAACAGATATAATGGTTCAAAAGTAAGCAGGCCCGTACATAATTGAAATGAAACATCAGGGCCTCCAATTATATTTGACTTTCTCGGCTTTTCTCCTACTTACACATTACCCGTTCTTCCATTTTCTTTTCCCCTTAGTTAAACTGACCTTGGCACACAGTCCCCAATACAAGAACAGCTCTAGTAAAAGAACATCCGTCACAAACATGGTGACCTTCACTACCGCCCCCCTCCCCACCCGTTCTATCGCCCTTGACCTCTGTAGTTCTTTAGTAGCCTCGCGTTTCGTCATTTTTAAATAGAAGCCGTCGGTCGTTGCTCGCCAGGAATGCCCTGAAGGAAACAGAGCAGAGAGGTTATTGTTTTAGGGGAGTATTTACATTTATACATGACTAAAATCATACCAAGTTTAAAAAAAAATCATGAATACATCAACACCAGTGCCACAAAGTAAGAAGAAATAAGTATGGTCAAATCTAGTCCACAAGTGGCTACATAAAACGATAGGACAGAGTTTCTAAAATCGTCAGAAAGGGGTAGAAAGCAACAATCACGTTTAAATCACGTGGCATTAAAAATTAAAAAAAAGTAAAACATCTTCCAACACAACCATCTGAAGAGGGAATTCCACAGAAGCGAGGGTCCAAAATGCCGACAGATTTCTCAACGGCCGGACATCGTTAATCAACTGTTAATGACCCACCCTGAGGTGTATATGCTGTGATATCAAACTTCCGAGTGAGCGAAGCGAACGAAGTGGTTTTAAGTTGCCCAGTGGTCTTCGTTAATGGCAATTTGGGGCCTCACCAAATAAAGACCGTCATAACGACGGGGCCTTGCCTAATAAGGATCGTCAGAATGGGGCCTTACCTAATAAGGACCGTCATAACGACGGGGCCTTACCTAATAAGGACCGTCTTAATGGGGCCTTACCTAATAAGGGCCGTCATAATGACGTCTCCCTATCGCACACCTCCAGCACTTCCCACGTGACGTGCCGTACCACCCCCTGCTCCGGCCGGCTGACGCACGTCGCCTTGGAGCCGAGGGCGCTACGGCAGAAGGAAGGGGGAGGTTAGCCTCTACCAGGCTTCGGGAGGCGGCTGGAAAGAGTAGAAATCAGTCAAATAGAGAGATAACATGCCAGGGGAGTTTTTTTCCTGCTAGAGAGAATAGTTTGCCGCTCCCGTGCACACTTTGGGTGCAGCAAAATGTTCTCTCCCAGCAGACAAATTCCCCTGGCATGTTATCTCTCTGTTTGGCCGATTTCTACTCTTTCCAGCCGCCTCCCGAAGCCTGGTAGAGGCTAGGGGTAGGTGTCACCTACAGGCAGATCTTAACGTAGCAAAACCGTGCGTAACCAAGAGGCAAAGCTGCATCCATTTTGCTAGTCATGTACATGTACATGTACATGTATATTCGTTGACTATAATCTCCAAGCAGAGGTTTGGGTTTTCGGCGTGTTTTTAGGCTTTTTATCGGGCTCTCTTTTTTTATCACCCTTATTTTGATTGGCGTAAAAATGTAAAAAATAAGCCAAAACCCAAACCTCTGCTTGGAGAGTAAGTTGACTGGATAGTTTCTGATCAACTGGATACTACTTTGCCGGTTGGTTAGTAACGCAATTTTGCCACGGAATGATCTGCTTGGAGATTTGATAGGTACTCTTAAAGCAGACGTTGGTAGAAAAAAAAATTAAGATATTTCCCCCTATTTTTTGACGAAAAAAAAAGTGTTCTAGTTAAGAGGCAACATGATTGGCTGATGATTTTCCCTCCAACAACAGGAGAGGAAGTATCTGATTGGCTAACACAGCAAGAAGCACCGAAGGTAGCAGTACGCCAGGGCCATTGCTCGACTTATACAGGCATCTGGCTACTCTCCAAGCAGAGGTTTGGGTTTTGGCGTGTTTTTAGGCCTTTTTATCGGGCTTTCTTTTCGCACTTTTTTACGCAAAAAATACCAGTAACAAAATACCAGTGCAAAAAAGAACGCGCGAGGAAAAAAGCCTAAAACACGCCAAAATTAAGCCAAAACCTCTGCTTGGAGAGTAGCAGCTAGCCCGGCGATGAGGGGAGGGAAAGCCTGGGGTACCTGTGCAGCGCTCCCGCGATGAGTCCACCTATCAGAGGTCCCAGCCACCAGACGTAGTGGTCCGTCCAGATCCCGGCCACCACGGCGGGACCGAACGCGCGGGCAGGGTTCAGAGACGCTCCGGAGAACGGGCCGCTGGGGAGGGGAACAGGAGAAACCGAGTTAAGGGTAGAAGTGAAACCCGATCTCCACCCACTCACTTCAGAACCCAAACATACAAACCTAGGAGAAATTACCACCGGCACCCGAAACAAAACTTTCGTCCCGAATGTCAGAAAATGTTCAATTTTCCGATGACCACAGGTAGTGAAACTCCAGTGAAAATCCAGTGAAACCCAATCTCAAATGATCCAGTCCCCCAGACCTCAGTGCGGAATGGACACACACACACAAACTTTTAATCAACGCGTCCGAAAACAATACTTCCGACCCAGACATAACAAGTGCCATGTACTCACCCGGCCAGTATGCCGATGACCACGGCCAGTCCGATGGCGAGCGGCGGCAGAGCCTTGCCCTTGGAGGCGGAGTCCACTGCGGACATGATGACGGTCATGACCAGGGTCATGGTGAGGAGGGCCTCGCACAGGATCGCGCCGCCCACAGACACGCCCTCCCCGATACTGTGCGTGCCGCCATGGCAGTCCAGGTACGTCGTGTTGGGGAGGATCGCCTGCATCGATACAAAATAGAAGCGTTCGTTAACATTCGTTAACAGATATCGCACAACAGCACAGTTCCGTTCCGTTCCTTTCCTTTTCCTCCTCTCCCTTTTCTTTTTCTCCTCTCTCTATCTCCTTTCCCTTCTTTCTTTCGTTCTTTATTTACTAGTATTTCTTCTCTTTCTCTCTCTCCTCTCTCTCCTGTCTCCCGCTCTCTGTGTTCCCTACTATCCTCCCTCCATATCCCCACCTTGGTAAACGCCGCGCCGATCATGGAGCCCATCAGCTGACTGACTCCGTACCCTCCCGCCAGCAGCGGGTGGATTCCCCCCGCCAAGGTCACTCCCAAGGTCACGGCAGGGTTGAAGTGGCCTCCGCTATGAAGGGAAAGATTTAACCATTGTTTTAACCGTAGAAATGTGAGCATTCGCCTCAAAGATTATAATTATTTGCCACCAACAACCTCTGCGACAAACGGGGAAGGAAAATTAAAGACGTCTATGATACAATTTACAGCATTCTGAAATAGTATACCAGCATTCTCTGTGACCTTTGACCTCATAGTGGCAGCCATTTTGAGACCTTGGATAAGTAACCATGACAACCAAAATCCGCCCACCTGATGTGCCCCAGCCCCACGACGAGCAGGGCTATGGTCAGCCCGTGCGTCAGGGCGATGCCGATCAACCATGTAGGCCCGCCACGAGCCGCGTAACCTGTAACCAGACATCAACAAGGAACACTCGGTGGGTTGTGTCATTACTTATTAGAACATTTGCATACTCAATGTTCTTGTCGCAAGTGTTCTTCATTCTAATCAGCCCAATCAGATATCTTTTCATTATTTTTACGATTTATTTGAATTATTTTGTTAGGTACCTTTTCAAATCAAATGTCATTACCAAGTGTTATTATTATTATTATTATTATTATTATTATTACTATTATGATCGTTATTGTTTCATTTTGCTGTTTTTGTTCTTACAATCACATGTTATTTTGATTATTATTTATGTAATCCTACAAGAGTTGTTATGATTTTTATTATTTATTTATATTGATTATTATTTATGTAATCTTTATTAGTTTATTTTGGTGGGGGTATTGAAAAGGAGTATTGTTCCTGTTGCCCCCAACCTCTTACACATTACTGTTGTAATAAAGCTGAAATAAATAAATAAAATAAATAAAATACTAGTAATTAAAATCCTCCTCAACACAGTCTGTCATTCCGTGTACTATACTATTTGCTGCAGGAATTCTTTTACTTCTTTTACGACAATATAGTTGTGTGCACGCTTACCCGTCACCATCGTTCCGACGAACGCAAAGACGATCTGGCCGACGAACTCCGCGATGCACGGCTGGAGGTACTTCTCGTACCAGGAGCTAGGCGGCGCTTCTGCCTTTCTTGACCTGTTGACCGTGAGAATGCTGTCCGCCTCAGACGCCATGTGGCCGTTGCTGCCGGGAAGCCGTTCTGTTATAGAGGCAGAAGAACAAAAACGCGTTTTCCGTTAATGATCTCAGCAGGTTGCAGAGTTATCGAATAGCAACGTTCTTTATTGACAGCCACTTGCTTAACAAGATCCAAAAAGGGGGCTTCAGATTTCTATGATAAGTAAGCAAGAAGATAGCTCTTTACTTAAACAGGTGGTTGTGAATGAAATTTTTAGTTACGTGTTTTGTAGCAGGCTCCCAGACTCCCTAGCAGGCTCCTAGCCTCCCTAGCAGGCTCCTAGCCTTCTTAGCAGGCTCCTAGCCTCTCTAGCAGGTTCCTAGTCTCCCTAGCAGGCTCCTAGCCTCCCAAGCAGGCTCCTTTCCCCCTTAGCAGGCTCCTAGCCTCCCTAGCAGGCTCCTAGCCTCCTTAGCAGGCTCCTAGGTTCCCTAGCAGGCTCCTAGCCTCCCTAGCAAGCCCCTAGCCTCCCTAGCAGGCTCCTCGCCTCCTTAGCAGGCTCCTAGCCTCCCTAGCAGGCTCCTAGCGTCTCTAGCAGGCTCCTAGCCTCCCTAGCAAGCCCCTAGCCTCCCTAGCAGGCTCCTAGCCTCCTTAGCAGGCTCCTAGCCTTCCTAGCAGGCTCCTAGCCTCCCTCGCAGGCTCCTAGCGTCTCTAGCAGGCTCCTAGCCTTCCTAGCAGGCTCCTAGCGTCTCTAGCAGGCTCCCAGCCTCCCAAGCAGGCTACAAGCCTCCTTAGTTAACAGGCTCCTAGGTTCCCTAGCAGGCTCCTAGCCTCCCTAGCAGGCTCATAGCCTCCCAAGCAGGCTCATTGCCCCCTTAGCAGGCTCCAAGCCTCCTTAGCAGGCTCCTAGCCTCCTTAGCAGGCTCCTAGGTTCCCTAGCAGGCTCATAGCCTCTCTAGAAGGTTCCTAGTCTCTCTAGCAGGCTCCTAGCCTCCCTAGCAGGCTTCTAGCCTTCCTAGCAGGCTCCTAGCCTCCCTCGCAGTCTCCTAGCCTCCCTAGCAAGCCTCTATCCTCCCTAGCAGGTTCCTAGTCTCCCTCGCAGTCTCCTAGCCTCCCTAGCAAGCCTCTAGCCTCCCTAGCAGGTTCCCAGCCTCCCTAGCAGGCTCCCAGCCTCCCTAGCAGGCTCCTAGCCTCCCCAGCAGCCTCCTAGCCTCCCTAACAGGCTCCTAGCCTCTTCAGCTAGCCGGCTCCTAGCCTCCTTAGCAGGCTCCTAGCCTCCTTCCAGTTAGGAAGATGACGATTTTCCTTAGAACCTGTCAGGTGTTTCTGTGTTTGAAAGTCGACATCGCTGCATACATGTTCTAAGTGTGTTGACGCTAAACACTCGATGACATTTTCAGGACACACGCAATGTACTAAACCGTGACAGACTCCTTACTACCTAACTTTGACTTAAGGATATACACACGCCGCTTAAACAAATAGTTTCAAGGTTATCCACTAAAAGCTAAGTCACCTTTAGGACACCTGTGTACATGTTTTAAGCAGCCCATTCATTCACGCATCCCAAATACAAGCACACCTTGGGTTAGCTTAACCTCACAGGGTCAGTAGTGGCCAGGTATTCAAGTTGGCAAACATTCAACATCGAGTAAGAATGGCAACATCGAGTAAGAATGGCACACTAACTTTGGGAGGGGTGAGCTTTTTAATTGAATATAAAGTCCGAATGGTTTCGATCAAATAGAATTCGTTAACAATCAAATGAATGAATCATTGTCTGTGGAACTGGTTATTATCACACAATACTCCTTCTCTTAAGCAGATCGACGAAAGTTTCTTTTTGTACGTTTTCCCTAGAATCAGACCAAAGGCATCAAGGTAAATGAAGACAACACAAAAGATATACTAGGCATAACGTCGGTGTTTTATTCAGCATACAAAACGTACTTACCGAGTCGTCGTCCCGACATGGTTTTCAGACTTTTCAGAAAAAGTAAAGGAAGGAAACGATGACAAAATTGGGGCTGCTAGAACACTGACGGGACGGTTCCAGTTCTAACTGGTAAATACAGGCACAGACCGAGTTAATCTTAAACAACAAGGTGGCCAAGGTTAGGGACGGGCCAGTGGTTATGCTTGGTTGGAGGGTATAAGATTGAGGAAGAAACGTCAGAGCAAAAACACGAAAACAGTTGACATTTACCAGACATGGAATTGTTCAACTGTGACAATTGAATTTCAACATTTCTCACAGTCATTTACAAAACGCTTAGTCTTACCTGTGACACCTATGTGCATGTTTAAGGCTAACACACCCACGCACAACCTCGGTAATCCTAAACATAAACACAGCCGACATTCGCAGAATATTTCATTATGTAAATCAGAGTGTTGAATTAACACACGGTTAGGCACAGAACTTGAACTTTGAGAAGTTGCCCCCAGACCACATACACAGGCCCGAGTTAATGTTTAAACACACCGACAGACAATATGTACCTGCTGGGGTCACAACGGCAGGTATTCAAGTTAGTGATTATGTGCCAAGTAACGTTGCTCTGGTCCTGAAAGGGTGTGTGATTCATTCAACATAGAATTTGATATAAACTGATGAAAACTAAGTGTCAACGTTACGTGGCATGACTGTGTGGCTTAAGGCTTAAGAATTGGTGATGGGCACCGCCCCTATGCTCTGCACAGAGTGGACCGGAAGCTAGCTACTCAATTCAGACTCTGTCTGCAATGTTGTTCCCTAAATAAAGATGTGAAGATTTCAAGCTAATAATCATGAATATTTAAGTGGAAGCAGGTGATTCGAGACTCCACCATGCAGTGTCCCCACGACCCTGAACTGGGTTATAATAGGTTCTAAAGTACAAGGTACGTACAGGGTACAGGGTAAATGTTTCATTCAGCTTAGGAAAAACGTAACGCGGGGTGACCTATCTCCGGACGTGCCCTAGGTTCGGACGGATTTTCTACTGATCTCATTTTGCAAAAGTACGCCGTGTTTGTTGCCACTAACTTCGCTAATTAAAAAGGCAAATAACATAGCTAATGCATACAGCTGTTATTTGTATGCAAAGTATAGTTCTAACGTTACTTTTATTTGTTTATGTAATATATAATAGTCAACTTTACAGAAATAAAATTTTGAGGAGTGTGTTGCTGTAACAGGCCGACTCCCCTAAAACTATATGAAGAGACTAATACATATTATACTAAGTTAAAATATATATGAACAATTGTGAACGACGCAAAGTGTAACTATATGGCTAATAACAACTACTTACCGAGTAAAGAGACTCTTTTTACAGAACCAAGTCTTTCATTCAGCCGACGTTTCGGTGACCGTCAGGGCAGTTCTGACTGGTTCACATTGCATTGCAGCACAGGTGTTGCTGGTTGTGTAAAAAGAGTCTCTGTACTCAGTGTCTTACCAACCTGATGAAACTATTCACGGAACTACTTACCGAGTCGACGTTCCGACATGGGTCTCAGTCTTGAGTTTTCAGAAATTGTAGAGGAGAACGACAAGGAAAGAGACTAGAACTCAAACGGGACCTCGCCAGTTCTAACTGGTAACGTCACAGATCAATGGTGAACTTTAACAATAAGGTAGCACAGGTTAGGGGCGGTTCAGTAGTTATGGTAGGGTTGGAGAGTAACAGTAGGGAGCAGCTAGGGACGGTCCAGTAGTTTTGGTAGGATGGAGAGTTGAACTTTAACAATAAGGTAGCAGAGGTTACCTATGGACTGTCCAATAGTTATGATAGGTTAGAGAGTTGAACTTTAACAGTAAGGTAGCGCAGGTTAGCTAGGGACGGTCCAGTAGTTATAGTAGGGTTGGAGGGTAACAGTAGGGAGTATCTAGGGACGGTCCAGTAGTTATGGTACGGTTGGAGTGTGACAGTAGGGAGCAGCTAGGGACGGTCCAGTAGTTATAGTAGGGTTGGAGGGTAACAGTAGGGAGTATCTAGGGACGGTCCAGTAGTTATGGTAGGGCTGGAGGGCTAGGAATTTTTTTGGGGAGGGGGAAAGTTTAGTACATGTATTGCATAATATATAAATTATTATCCACATTGTAAACATGCGTTGATGTTATCACAGTCACACCAAAAACTCCTCCCCGGTCTGAGCCGAACTAGATGTTTGCTTTTTGATAGCTTTCTAGAAAAGGGGACAGTTCATTATTCAACTAGCCATTCTGGGGATGATAAGCGACGAATAATTGGCCAGATTAATAGGGGAAAATTTTGCAGGACCGTAAGGTGATTTAGGGCCAATTTTTATGGTTCATATTTTTTATATTTTCAATTGTTTATAACGGAACATGATAGTAGTTTAAACCTTCAACCAACATTTATAGCAACATTTTAAATATTTTTTTATATATTTTTTCATATTTTTATGGCTTACACATTGTTTTTATATCCGGCTTATGCTTGATGCCCGTTCAACACTTCGTTATGAAAAACTATGATGGGTGGAAAAATAGGGTGAAGTGGGAGGTGCCATTTTTATAGCCTGGTTACTAAACTCCCGAGTCCTACATCCGCTCCACACTCGGTAGCTATAATAGGTTTAACGAGGGAAACAAAAAAAAAACAAAAAAACAAAAAAAAACTTACGCGCGTACTTTCACTGACCCCGTATGTATCCCATGATGTGTACCCAGCCTATTGCACGACAGGCGCCATGTTTGCACACGGTAAACACGCACGTGGCTAGCACGCTGAAGGCTGTATACAACTATCATGTGGTCCCTTATCACTATACATTACCCTCGCACTATAAACTCCATCTGTTCTTACATTTACAACTGTCTTAAGAAGCGAGAAGAAGCAGAACCTGTACATATGTAGTTTTACTATAGATATATTTTAGTTTACCATCGCTATTTGCTGTAACCTGTACTTAGTTCGCAATGAGAAAAAAATGTACGATAAAGGTCTTTCCATCATTATACCTTACTGTACGGGCAAAATATCAATACGTATGTGTTTTAGAAGTTTTTAAGGTTGGTGCTGACATTTTGAAAAGTTTCCTCTAAGCTAATAGAACAGCACCTGTAGAACACATTGTTGTTATAAGTCGATGTACGCCACGTTTAGAACTACGCAAGACTTCGATATTCGTACACAGTCTTTTTGTCGTGACTCAAATACGAAAAACAGACGTAACAAGGCAAAACATAATGGAGATAATCTAACAAAATAAGGATTTTACTGCAACATTAAGTTAAGGGATCCAAGTCTTGTACATGCTACTCTTCAAGCAGAGGTTGTGGGGGAAGGATCGTTAGCTTTTTATATATGGCCCTTTTTTGTCGCTACCCCCACCACCCCGTCGGTGGCCGGCGACCTTCTCTGGCCACCGAAATGGATCTGCTTGGAGATTAGTATATGCCACCTTTATGGTGGTACAGTACTATACTATTCCTAGTGCATAAGACCCGTAGGTAGACTCCGTAGCCCTATATTAAACACATGTTCGCGTCTAGCGCATTACGGCAGTTCCATACCTTGTACTAAACAGTCCCTTAGTCAGTAACCCCAACCTGCAGATCCTTCCAACACCTGCCCTTGTACTGTACATACCTTGTACTAAACTTGTACTTTGTGAAGGTACTGTGCTATACCTAGTGTATAAGACTCGTAGGTATACTACCCCGGTATTTAACACATACCTAGTGCATTACAGCAGTTCCATACCTTGTATTAAACTGTCTCAGTCAGTAACCCAACCCGCAGATCCTTGCAACACCTGTCCACCGTGTGTGTCCCGTGAAGGTTTTACCTGTAATGCTGAACAGGTAACGTTAGTCTGAAGTCATGTGTGCGGCCCTGATAAGGTCATTACTCCAGGGGATACAAAGTCCGGGTTTCAAGCAAGTCGCCAGGGCACCCTTTGGTCAGAGGTCATCTCAGAGCAGATGCAGGGTGCGCGTCAGTGTTTTAAAGACTTTTCCTGGGGATTAAGGGGGGGGGATTAAAAGCTTCAAAAACGAGCGTAAAAAAACAGGACCCTACATCTACTTGGAGATTAGGAAGTTTGGGCCGGTAAATTTTAGTTACATTGTATCTATTCTGGTGATTTAACCCCCTTCCTGCTGCTTAACCCTGTATCCTGTACAAGTTTCCTGTTGAAAGGCTGCCTCTGCATGAAGAGGGTTAAATCTTTATCACCAGCTTCCTCCGAACGTTCCGAACTAAATAATAAAACGGTTGGCCTGGTCCCTTTTGGGGTCTCCAAACAGATCCTAGGGTGGCAAAAGACAGTATCAAATTGGCCAGGTAGCATCCATGGCATATTGGACCCTTTTCGGGCCAATTTGATACTGTCTTCTTTTTATATTCCAACATTTCATGACTAGACATATGGTGACGGCACACTCAAGTTATATCAACTTATCTTATACCGTCACCAACGCAGAGGAACAGGACAATACTCATTTTCACTTGAGTTAAGTGATGAAATTTGTGTAAAGTGCCTTTCCCAAGGGCACAAGATCGGTGGCATGTCAGGACTCGAACCCGGAACCTCTTGGTTCCGAGACGAGCACTCTGCCGCTACGCCACACGACCCCACATACTGTTTTTGCCACCCTATAGGATCTGCTTGGAGATTACAACCGGTTTTATTCCAGCGTTGTAAGAATGTTCGCGTGCTTTGTTGGTCGGCAGTTGTTGCGTGCAGGTCTTGATGATTAGAAATATTTGTGAGTCCGGCGACGTCGCGACAAGTCGTAAACCCTCCCGTACCAGGCCGGGTGAGCGCTTTGTGACGTCAAGCAAGGACTCTTCCATCCAAACTGTTACAGAGGTAGATACAGATATCATTTATCCATAGTCCTGTCCCTATAGGACCGGTATTTTCAAATTCAAGCAAACTTTTCTTTACATAACTTTCATGTACTACAAACCTTTACTAACCATTCAAATGTTTCAACATTCGACTGGAAAGAATATTAGCAAAACTTCTGTAGCAAACCCACCCTAACCCACCACATTCCTCAATACATGGACTCGCCTTCTCTCGGGAAAGAACATTCTAAAGTTTTCCAATAGAATTCTTTGCACACAGGCTCCGACAGGTTTGGAGCCAGGTGTGGGTTGTCTGGCAGGATGTGGCGGGGAGCGGCCATCGGTCTGTGTCCTTGGTGTGTGGTCTTCTTGCTGGGCTCAGCTTGGGCCGACCACCTACAAAACAACCATACAGGTAAGGCAGAATTACAGTGTGCTTATAATGTAGCTTCTAACAGGATTCGGGAGGCGGCTGGAAAGAGTAGACATTTGGCCGAATAGAGAGATAGCATGCCGAAAGAGTTGGTCCACTAGAGAGTACAGTTTGCCGCAACCATTTTTACTCGTATAGCGTGCTTAATGTAGCTTCTACCAGGCTTCGGGAGGCGGCTGGAAAGAGAAGAATTTGAGCCAAATAGGAAAAAAAACATGCCGAGGAAGTTGTTCCGCCAGAGAGTACATTTTGCCACATGCAGTTTTACTCTTTCTTTTTGCTCAAGACTGAGCGATTCAGTCGAAAATTTCTGGTGAATTTCGTTTGTGAGTTTTCTTCCTACATTTTGAGTGATTTTGGCCGTGTTGTCTCCACAGCTGTAACAGAACAGTCTGAGTGTGAACGCGAGGCGTCTCACGGGGAGCTACTGGCTTGGCTGGGCGTAGAGGTCCCTCAGGTGGGCTGTTTATAAGTTTATGTTGATATTTATTTGAATTTTCAATATTGTACAATGGAGGGAGACAAAACAGGCGACAAAGAACTCCTGTCAGAAGCTGTGAGGAAGGTGTATGATAGACACAGAAACGTAAGCACTTAGGTGAGACCCACCCAAGAAAACACGCCTTTTAATGCAAGATGAGCCAAAAGTTGGTGCCACTAAACCCTAAAATGCGACATCAATTCCAACGTCCGGATTCTGTATTCGAATTTTCGAAAGGGGCACAAGCGGGTAGGGCGAAACGCGTTCGAATCGTTTTATGGAAGCCATGGAAGCGTTCGATAACGGGTTCCGGACCGGGCCGTACCGTAAAGTACGGCCCGGTCCGGAACCCGTTATCGAACATTATCGAAGCTATGGGAGAGAGTGAGTGAGTGAGTGAGTGAGTGAGCGAAAAGAAAACCCCTATATCCTAACATTTTCTTCTGTTCTACCCACCCTTTCATGTATGTTGTGAATGTCTTATGTACGCCCCTCAGTGCACTGCGGACGGATCCTACAACACCACCCAGTGCTGGGCTCTCATGGCGGAATGTTTCTGCGCCGACCCGCAGGACGGAAGGCTGTACTACGAGACGGCGACTCCGCTGGGCGAGGACATGAGGCACGACTGCCATGTCTACTGGCACACCCCGCACCCAGCCAGTACGTTTCCCCTTTAAACATTCTCTTTAATTAGTGGCTGAAGCTTATAAACTTTTATAAAAGCTCATCCGTAAATAATTTCATCAGGTTGGTAAACGAATGAATAGCAAAGTTCTATATATTTTCACGTGCCATTTATTTTCACGAGCCGACGTTTCGATGACCGTCTGTCATCTTCATCAGGGCAGTTCTGACTGGTTTACTGT